CCGCGCTTTCCTATAATGCCATATGGCTACTACCGTTTCAAGATTACGGCTGGGGTAACTGGCGCAAAAGAACCAGAGTATTGCTTCAGAATGTTGTGTCATATTATTCCTAAAATTGGATCATAAGTAAAAATAAGTTGTAACGCCGCATTCTTCTGCGTTTTAGCTTTACCGGAATGCTTTATTGAACCTCTCTGAGTCATTTTTAGCAGCGCTATTCTTTCGCTGGGAAGACAAAACAATAATGGCAACCGGCACTACTTCTTCTTTAAACGTTACAATGGGGAGGGGAGACCAGCTGAGCGACGCGGTGGTACCTTCCGTTCGGACTTTGACGAAAGAGTGTATTTTGTCCAAGATTCGGTAATGAAGCATTCCGGTGAATTTGAAATGCAGAAGAATGCAGGGAACAACAAAACGGAAGTCACCATGTAAAAGCATAGCGATTTCCGTTTTCTTCTTCCTCGCATTCTTCTGCATTTTAGCTTTACCGGAATGCTTTATTCGGCGCGCTCAGCTCCGAGCTGTGGTTGGTGTCTTCGCACCACGACGATTACCTGTAAATAGTGATTCGCTGTCCTCCGCTGAGGGTAGTCGCGAACAAAAGCCCCGTGGGTAGAGAAAAAGACGGTCACACAAGATGAGACATATGAGACAAGACAAGACAATTTATTTATTCGAATGTACATTTTCATTTATTACTGTAAGCCGATGGTGACTAAAGCGATGTAACTTGCCGATACTGCGAAAAATGTTAGTCGATCGAGAATCTTTGATAATTGAACGCTCTGTAACAGTCGATAAAGGGTTCCGGTTACACACCAGTTACTTTACGAAGAACAGGTTTGGACAGAGTACCCCGTGTGTGTTTTGTCTAATACAGGTGAATATCACATTGCCAGCCGCCGTAAGTTCTGCGTCAAACACACTCACTTGTTCGTCGAGCGGCTTATTGAAAACGGGCGCGGTGACGGGCAGAACAGGCAGAAGAAGGAGCGTCCTGAGCATGGACAGCCCCCTGGCTACGGACTGCGACCAGGAAGACAGGGGCCTCGTCCTGGAAGCGAGGCGCAGCGACAGCAGCCATTGGAGAGCCACCACCAGGAGCAGCAGCCCGACGTCGCGGTACACGAGCACTGCGTCAGGAGGGCGGTGATCAGCTGCGAGGACCGCGCCAACACAGCTGCGGACACCACACGAGGACGTACGGGCACGGGGCGTGGCGTCGCCCTCCAGGTTGGCGGCCAGCGACGGCAGGCACAGGAGGAAGGCGACGTGGAGGAGGAAGGAGACGGCGAGCAGCGCCGGCCGCTCACTGGAGCCCGGCGGCAGCGCCACGCTGGCGGGGACCAGCGCGGACACGGCGAGCACCGGGTGCACCAGCTCGGCCTCCAGCTGCGCGGGCAGCCTCCCGCGTAGAAAAGTAAGGCATAAAGTTGTCATAATTTTGTCGCCTCTGGTATTACTGGATTATCGATTACTTATGAGGAATCTATGACACAAATTATGACAAATGTATGACACCAATTTATGAGCAATTTATGACTTAATTATCACCGTCGCAACTGTCATAAAACGTCTCATAATTTTCTCTGTAAAAATGCAATAATTTTGTCCTCTAATCGGGCACCTCCGACGTCATCAATCTCATGACGTCACTCGCCTGCGCGGGCTGTTTGGTGTCCGGGAGGGGCGAATTCAACTTCGTGTAAGTGTTGACGATGGCAGGGGAAGATCGACACAATCATAAAACCAAGGTGTTTTGGTGGTGAAAATTTTTACTCCATTTCAAAATCATTCAAAGGTTTAGCAATATAAGATTCTTCATTGATGTGAATCAGATACATTATGGTTTCTATCTCAGATATGTCTATAACATCATTATCCTCACCAGAGGGTTTACATTTCATAATGTGGTTGACAGTTACACACTCATTTTCAAAAGCTACCGCAGTTTCATAGGGTTTTACAATAGCAAGGAATTTTTTTTGGCAGCTACAACTTAACAAACACTTACAAGTAACTTTAACAAACACATCCAAATTTCCATATTTTACTACAGAGTGTTTGTGGTACTGCACAAATGAAGAGATGCGTTGGCCCCGCTTATAACTACTAGAAACATACAACAACTTGTTTTTCAAAAGACGATGGAACAATGTAACTGTAACATCATTCGATTCCAACAAGAAGCCATTTTTAGCAAGATCTTCTTTTACATAGGAAGTATTATCCATAATAGGAGAATGACATCCAACCGAATAAACACTATTTGAAATTTTTTCAGATAGCTTTAGCCTCATCCACTTATTGGAAAGCTTTACACAGTACTCTTTGGCAGGTCCAGATTTCATGCTATGAATAAGCAGTGGTAGTTGGGTGACCATCGATAGATTGGAATAAATCTGGAGTCCAGCATGTCTTGACCCATGAGCTAATCTGGCAATCCTACCATTCATGTCTTCATATTTGAAACAGTTAACTAAATGCAATGGAGCCAAATTTTCCACAACTAAAGGTAAATGGAGACACTTATGGACGTTATGGGACATGTTTCTCAATCCAAAGAGAGACTGAAAATCTTTAACAAATTTGTCCAAAAGCAACCTTGCTCTAACTAAATCAAAATCACTAACACTAGAGGAATTTAACAGGGCTACTCCTTGAACAAATAACATCAAGTGGTCAAAATATTTTGCATCTAATACACCATTAAGTACACAGAGACACAGATAAAACAAAAACGTCCTCAACTCAGAGGCTTTCCAATACACCAGTTTATCAATGAGTTGTGGAATTCTCTCTACAAAATGAGGCACTCTAATTGACTTCAGCTTACTATTAAGAATCTTAATTTTACTATAGATGGAATACGGTTCATCTCTATGATCTCGATCACAAAACAGGTGTAACAGTTGGCGCATTACACCCAAATAAACGCAATGCATTGTATCTACTGCACTGCTAGAAAACATTTCAGGTACCATGTAAGACAGCAAGGTTGGGCCTTTGACACCACAGCATTCTGGTCGATTTTGTGAATCAGTGTTAATGATGACCTTATTGTCAACAGCAAACTTTACCTGGTTCTCATACTTCTCCATTGTTCTCAGTGGGCAATTTTCATGGTAGGGAAACACTGTTACTTTCCCAGTAGCATCTGAATTAAGGCCCACACACTCACACACCGGACAGGAATAAAAACCAGAAGGATGCTTCAAATTTAGAAACATGGCTGTGGCAGGCGCATCAGCAGTCCCACAGAGGACACTAGTGTGAACTTTGCTCTGGAATTCATCACCATAAAAAGTAACATTTATGCCTTCTTCAATCAGCTTTACATCTTTGAAAATGGGTTGCAGAAAAATATTTGGGTGGGGCTTTGTAGTACTTCCCCAAATCCCACCCAGTATCAAGTTTTCACTTAGAAAACGTTTTTCGGGTGGGAGCTCATTAATGACAAAATACCAAGCCCACAAAGAAAAAGAGCTAGACTTATAAACTTGGAGGCCATCTGTGTTCCACATTAAAGTAAGATTAGTGGCTCCAGGAACAAATTTCTCTTCTGCCTGCTTGTAAAGATTGCCGTCATAAATATCTTCATGGTTGTGCTGATTTTGTTTCCCCCTCCTATTCTTATAATTAATATCATGTACAAAATTTGACCGTTCACAAATACGTTTAAGTTGGGGAACCAAAGGAAAGGATATAAAATATTGAACGGTTCTGGTATCATCTGTGCACACAGAACATAAATCCTTGTCAGAGCTACAACTCCTATAGCATACACTGCAAAAATAAAATACATGAACCGGTTCATCATTTTGATCAAGCATTTCATAAAATAAATGTTCACTTTTGAAAAAGTTGTTAGGTTGGGGCATATGCAGAGAAATGAGACTTAATAATCTACCTAAACCCTTCCCACTCATATGTTCGGATTGCACAAGAGATAAAATTGATATAAAACTCTCTTTGATGGTGATAGCTGATCCAGGAAACAATGGCTGATCATGGTGATGTGCTGGGCTCTCATCCTCTACTGTCTCTTCAAACACAGGATTTTCATCAGCTAGTAGGATTTGAAAGTCAACAGTTGGTGTTTCATCAGGAGCTTCTTCTTCTGAATCAGAACACATCCAGGGAGGTTCTGGAAAAAAATATGTGAGAAATTTGAATGCTTGACATAGTATTAGAATAAACCTAACATTTTGTTGTTTTGACTTTCAATATTTTGATTTCAACAAAATTAATATAATTTAATAAAGTACCTGGTATGCAATCAGTTAAAGAGACATCATCTTCCGTGGCTACAATCAGAGGTGGGAAGCTCTCTAAAATATGGTTTGCATGATCAGTATGACCTGTTAATACACCTAAAACAGAGTAAACAGAATAGCTATAATACAAGGAAAATATAACAGTGGAAAGATGTAAGGTAAGGGGAGACTCACAATCACTCATAGGAACAACAAGAAATTCCTCTTCAGGATGATGTAAAGCCGTACTGTCAATTTGATTGTTCTTCTGAATTGTAGTCACTGACGATTGAAAAGATACCTCATGTTCAACAGAAGGTGTTTCTGACGAGACTTCTTCAAAATGTTGATCAGGTGGGGCAGCAGGGATATCACACCTTGCAGTTAAGAATCGACTGGTTGATGCAGTGGAGCTGCTGAGATTGTCTGGAGCTAACAAAGAAAATGTAAAAGTGTAATTCGTTTCATTTCTAAGCATAAACGTTTATCAGTCTACTGAACTTACCTATTTCAGATGTCTTGTTAAGATTCAAAGCAGTATCAAACTCCACAAAATTTTCAAGGGTAGTCAAGTCATGCTGTTGTGTTGAAATATAGCTCTCTAACCCCAAAGGGTTTTCTACGGTTTCCAGTGAAGCAATGCCCTCTAAGGATGCAAACTCTTCCGTACTCATGGACGGCGCATCACTGTGTCAATAAATACAAGAGATCAGTGTTAGTGTGTTGAAATGCATCAACCAATTTATTCTTGCAGCAAGGATGTTTCGGAGGTTAAGTGAGAAAGGTACCTACCAAAATTCTACGTTTAAGGGTCCTCCTTCATTGTCATTATCATTATCCGGTTGCTGAGGTCTACGTTTTCGTTTCCTTGCCGGTGGTCTATTATTTTGACTCATGGTAGTAATGGTTTCAATGGTTTACTGTGAAATGTGAAGTTACCATTGATTTCGATTTCGACAACCGGCCACTTGGGAGTAACAACAACAACCATACACAAACAAGCACGATGCGCGCGCTGCCAACCTACAATATCGAAAAATACGTCGTCTTCCTGTGTCGTGACTCTAAAACCCGAGATTACCAGTTTTTTTCTTTTGGATATAAAAATATTATTGAAGAATGTTTCAAATTTATGATTTTGTCGTTAGACATTCAAATAGTAGATGTCTTCAAAAGAACTTGTATTGGCAGTAATGTTGTTTATTTTCTTACTGTCATGGCGACTGACTTGCGCTCGCTGTGAGGGATT